TGTTTTATTTAACATGAAAAATTTTAAAAATAAATGACATAACATCAAATGCACAAACTATACATAATCACAACTGCGTTACGATTAAAGCAAATGAAATGAAAATAAATGCAGTAAAGAAGTACATGTAATATGACATACGTGTGCTAAAAATAATAGTTTCATATAGTCAGAAATAAGAAAAACAAACTAAAACATCTGACTATATAAACACAACACGTCACAGTGTATATTTAAAATATGATGACATTAACACAAAATGAAACGAAACATTAAAACAATATTTGTCAATTTACGAAATAATGTCAGAAGCAAATGAAGCTGGAATATCTACGGAAAATCGAAATCAGTAGATGTGTGCAAACATCGGTTTTAAACCATATCTGACTAAAGCGAAAAGGCGGGATGAACAAATGAAAAAATACCTAATGGAACCTAACTAAAATTTTTTAAACAGGTTTACGCCAATTTGTATTTCCTTTAAGAATGATGTCAAAAAACAAAAAACGGTAGGGCAAATTTACATTTTGCTCCAATTATTATCATGTTAGGTAATCATACTAGTTAACCATTGTCGAAGGGAAGATGCTTTATAGATGTAAGAAAAATTCTTGTCACCACGTTAATGTGTCTCGGAGCTTTATCGAAAAGAGCATTTCGGAGCATTTCGATAACTCCAGATTGTTTTAATGAAATTTCCGATTCGAAAAATTATATTTTTACGTTGTGCCGCAGTGAGATCATACGAAAGAATATTTTTAAGGTAGACAATTTGATTCGTCTCTCCCTCAACAGACACATCAGTCCCATCGGCAATCGAGTGACGGAGCAGGTCATACACTGGTTGGAAAAAAAATACACTCGATCCATAGATGATAAGCTGATTCAGGTTGATCACAAATACACATTGTTTTTCCTGTTCCGTTCTATCACCTCGCGTTGTGCTATCCTCTTCAGCAAAAAATGTATAAGTAAGCTTTAAGTTTCTTCTCTTTTAGAAGAGAAAGTAAACACTGTACCATAGTTTTTGTCGAGCTAATTTTGTTTTCTCGTTTTCCATCTTTACATGAGTCAAGTTAAATGCATATTTTATTTGTTTTATTACTTAATAACATATTTTATATATATTATTCTGCGAAAGTTTCCTTTGTTTTCTGCTACTATGAAGGAAAATCACAAGAAGAAATTGTTATACCTGATCAAGTTTCCTTACTTATTGGATCTGAAAATAGTCACTTGGATAAAATATTAGATTACGGTCAACAATGTTATGATAGCCGAAACGATAAAGAACAAAGAATTTTATTCAGTTGCCACGCGTTTCAACTTTTTATCTCGTTGTACTCGTTAAAGTACGTTAGAGAACGCGTTACTTACTAAGACTTAAAGTGTTACAACGTAGAAAATAAAATATTCCGGTAACGCGCGCTATTTGAATCATTTATTTGAACACTTTTATCGGCAAATTGTAGCCCTTTAACGAGGAAAAACGCGTTTTTCAGCGTTATTTTTTGTATCAAAAAGACCTCATAGGATACACTATTTCAATATGACACATTTAGTTCTATGGCACCGTCATGTCAATTAATGTAATTGAAACTATCTTTAAGGACATAAATTAAATAATTTAGCTTAAAAGGGGAGGAAAATATTTTTCTGGAGTGATTCTCATTTTTCAAAATTTTTATATTCTTCTTATTAACAAAAGATAAAACATGACCCTTTGCGTCGAGGCGATTAGTCAGTACTCAAGCGTTAGTTAAGGCCGTGTGCTGCCTCATTTTGCTTGCCTCAAAGTAGAAATCTTTTGCCTTCTACTAAAGCTGGTCTGCAAGTATATGATAGATCCTTTTTACCGGCGGCTAAGAAACGTTGGAATGATTTACCGAATGAATATCGAATGATAAACAGCTTTTTTACTTTTAAAACTAGACTAAAAGCTCCATATGCTTTAAAGTTTAAATTGAAACCTACACACTTTAGAATGTCTGAGATTCACTTCACACGCTTTAGAGTAGAATTCAGTCAATTAAATTATGATCTTTACAAACGTAAATTACAATCATCTCCATTTTGCACATGCGGTTCTGTAGAAGAAACCACTGGACATTATTTTTTAGAGTGTTCTCGATATGAAAATGAACGTCAAAAGTTGAAATCTGTTTTTCTAGTAACGATATAAACTTGAGATTTCTTACTCATGTATTAAGTGACAACTGGCTCGATTTGTTCTGTATTTCACCGAAATAAAAAAGTTTATATAAAAAAAAAATCTGTTTTTAAAAGTATTCTTCATATTCAGACTTTGACAGTAGACCACATTTTATTAAAGGATGATGCAATTACTGAACTAGACTTTGATAATATTACTTGTTTCATAGCGTGCTAGAATATATTACAGATACTCGACGCTTCCACTAGTACTGTATCTGGTAGCTTGTTTGATTGCTTTAAAGTCACTATCAACACCAACTGACTCTATTTGACGAGAAGGAACACTCCCCTCTACTGTTCAAGAATTTTTCTTCTTCTATCTTTTTTACTTTTTTTTCTTATCCTTTTTTAAATTTCCCTTTTTTGACAGCATGTAATGGGAGAAAGCCCGATTTGCTATATTTTTTTTTAAATAAAAATTCAACTGCTTAAAAAAAAAAAGTTGCTGAAAGAAGATCATCAATCCACCACTACCGCACGTGCAATTGTTAGACACTTATTTTCAGTTAATGTTTGGCAAGAAATTACGAATTTAGAAGTGCGTGAGGTAGGGTTGCCAGAAAACCAGGGCTAGTCACACATCCATTTCCAGAAAATAAATTTTTTAAAGAAACATTTTTCTCTATCTAAAAATATTTCAAATTAGTTGTTTCATTTAGAATTGAATGCGCTTCATTTTAAAAGAAGGTTTAACGCTCCAACTCATAATCTGAAATTTTTATTTAATTTTTAAAATTTGACATTTCAACTTTTTAAAACTGCGTTACCCTAAGGAACTATACTCCCTTGTTTGCCAGCTAGCCGGAACATTTTCAAGTACATGGTTGGATAGAGCTCGAAACACTCAACATATCTGGACAATTAGTGACTTCCAGAACTGGGATAAAAACAGTTTCTTTCTCAACAAATTTTCTCTTTTTCACAGTGAACACGAACTTGTATATGCACAACGGAAAAAGTGAAAAAGTTAATTTTTAAACGTTCAGAAGCATTTTTATGCAAAACCAGACTTGTGACTTTTTCCTTTCCTGTTGAGTTATTATACAGAGGAGCGAAAAAATCCGAATTCTGCCCGTATTTCTCAATTTTTTTCACCAGAACTCGCTTTTATGCAATAAAAGTATCATATTCGGACTCAGCGGCGAAAACTGAGTCGAACGATGTACCTTTTTATCCTATCCGACCACCTTTGCTTTTTCGAATTTTCTTGTTTTGTCCACTTTTGTTTTCTTCGAAAATCACTGAGATTTTCTCCAAAAAATGAAAATCAACGGAAACTTTCAAATCATGTATCATTCGACTCAGTTTTCGACACTGATTCCGCATTTGATACGCTTATTGCATAAAAAGTGAGTTCTAGTGAAAATTGAAAAATACGAGCAGAATTCCGGTTTTTTCGTCCGTATTTCACGTTTTTCACCGGGAAAGAAAGGTTGTGAAAGGTTTTTCATGTGATATTCGGATTCAGCTCCCTCTCTTCTATCAGAATATGTGTCAAAGGTCAAAATCTGAGAACTTGCTCTATCTTTGAATTAGCCTCGCCTTACGTTAAAAGATTGTTGAGAATAATCGCGGGCGATACCTCCTCCAACAATGAGAATTTGACTGTTTAATCGATAAGGACTTGATTTTTCAAGAAATACTTGTCGCAATAAGCTGTGATGACAGAAAATATTTCACCTTAAACGAAAAAATATTCCGACCCAGACATAGTCAGTTTGTAGTATTACTGATGTGTTTGGATCGTGCTACTATAACAGGACAAATAAATAAAAATAATGTTGAAGTTAGGTTGTCGTTTCTTTTTATTGTTTTGTTTGAGAATATTATTATCGCCAAATTTGACCTACCAGGATTCCACCTTACATGAAATCACAAGCGCAGCAGAAGAATAGTTTGATTGTTTATACCTAAATGAATGCGACTACCTGGTTCCATATTGTATTCATCAACCAAGTGATCATGTCTCACCATCTTACGATCAAGTCAGTGGACAACTGTGTACATTTCCACAGTTAACCTACTGCGCGAAAGTCTTGGCACAAACGCTCGGTCATTTTCAGAATACTTATTTGCAGCTGTTGAGAGTCAAAAGCCGTCAGTTAGAATCAGACTTTTATGCTCTTTCCGAATATATGTTCAGACTTTTTTCTAGTTTAATGTTGATTAACTGTGAGAAAATGTTTGAAAGAGCCAAAAACATAAAGTCCGTACACAGAAAAATAGGAGTTTTTGCATAATAATTGTGTAGGTTGTATTTCGTGGCAGTTTGAAATCGGTATTATTTTAGAGCATTAAATTCTCTGCAAAATGAGGTATTACAGCGGCTTACAACTAAAGAGAATTAAAAGTAATATATTAATTTTTATCTGTATCCTGATACACAACAACGTACATTTCATATTTACTTATGGCATATTTGTTTTTTGATACGCTTAATAAAGAGAATAGATGCCTTGAGAAATCTATTTTTCTATTAAATATATCAAATTTCAAAAAGGATCAACAGTACTTTTGTTCTTTTCCTGTCTAAGAATTTTCTTATAGATTAACATGATATCCGTTGAAAGATCTTTTGCAAAAATAACATGAAAGGTAGACGTGATATTACTTAATCGCACTCACTTTGCGATATTATCTTTTAAAACACACATTTTCGAGGTGAAATAACGATGAATGCAATTAGCTTGTTCATCATCGGCTTGCTGATGTGTGTTTGTACTGTGACTTGCACAATAACAGTATCGGGTAGTAATGCCACTGTTACATCAATAACATTCGGGTCGATGATTGGAATTTATAATTCAGCAGACCAGGTGTATAGCTTTCTCGGTGTTCCCTATGCTGTACCACCGGTGGCCTCTCTTCGTTGGACGGATCCACAATCAGACACCTCAAAATTGAATCACTATAATGCAAAGCAACGTCAGTCGGATTGTTTTCAACGAACATTTCCATTTGGCGTTGAATCACAAATAATCGGCTCCGAAGACTGTCTTTATCTCAACATTTATGTGCCATCAAGTCCACCACGTTCGACCGCTGGATATCCGGTTGTTGTCTATCTACACGGCGGAGGTTTTCAGACAACTGACTTTGATCCACAGGGTTACAATCTGGTTAAATTTAGTCAGTCGATGATCTACGTACATGTTTATTATCGTCTGAACGTTTTTGGCTTTTTTGCTTTGCCTGCATTGAGTGCAGAACATATGCCGATCGCATCATCGGGTAACTACGGCTTAAAAGATCAACAACTGGCCTTGAAATGGGTAAATCAGAATATTGCCGATTTTAACGGTAATAAACAAAACATAACTCTCGAAGGACACTCGGCCGGTTCAATTAGCGTTTGTTATCATCTTTTAAATCCCGAATCAAACAAACTGTTTCGACAAATCATTTTGCATGCAGGCGCATGTGAACCGAGTCTAGCTGGACCAAACTCGTTGATGGACATGGAAGAACGCGGACAAGTGCTTGTTAACTCAACAAACTGTTCAGGTTTAACTGCTTCCGCTCAAATGACCTGTCTTCGTCGATTGTCATCATCACAATTATTTACTTTCGCCGGTAGTCTCGCATTTGTTCCGAATTACGATGGTCTTTTCTTTGCACAAACAGCTCGACAGCTATTTTTACAAGGTAAATTTCCATTGTATCCAACATTAGCGGGGAAAGCGGGCGCTGGTGAAATGGCAACGAACCTCTATACAAACACACTCGGTTTGCCTATACCATATACACAGATAACGTGGACCAATGCTCCATTACTTGCCGCTGCTGTTGTAAATGCACCATCGTCTCTCAACCAAACAATTGCTGTATATTACTCACAGGCAAATTATGCACATCAGTCCATTAGTGATCCGCTTTGGGCTGTCTCTGATGCTTACTCAGCCTATCTAATTCAGTGCCCAACGGCTAGAGCGGCTCGTTTTCTGGCAGCTGGACAAGCAGTTGTCTTCTTGTACACTTTTGAATATGTAACTGTAAATTTATATGAAGTTTACAGAAATGCCAATGCCACTCGTGCTCTACACGGCTCCGAACTTCAATTCTTTTTTAATCAGCCCGCCTTCTTCTCAAATTACATATTCACACCGGCTGAAACACAACTGTCATTAGCACTTCAGCATTTAACAACTCGATTCATCGTACACGGAAATCCAAACCAAAATGATACATATATCGATCAAAAATTTCCTGCTTCTCCAGCACCCGTTTGGTCTCAGTATAATGTAACACAAGACAACTGGCTTCAAATAACAACAGCACGTACATTTCGAACAGCGAATAATTTGCTACAAAATGAATGTCAAAATCTATGGGATTATTATCTTCAGTCATCTGAAATTCAAACGCCAGTGCAACGTCATACAATGTGCCAAACCGATGAATGTTCAACAGATACTGCCTCAACAACTATTCTTTCAAAATTAACCGTATTCCTAGTATTTGTTTTTTCAGCTTTGGCCGGTTTATAAGTTTATAAGGTAGGAGCAGGGAATGAAAGTAACATTTTGAAAAAAGAATGTACTAAACATTATCAGAATCAGTTATTCATTCTTACTTTTATTCTCTACTCACACGATGAAATCATATTAAAAGATAAGTAGAGTGAGAAACTATTTTTTTTAAAAAACGACCTATATAAGATAACATAAGACTGTATTTTGATATTATTGTATAATACGTATAGTGTTGGAAGAAGCTAAAATAATGATATACAACTAACGAGGGAACGTTTTTAAGTGCTACCTCGTTTTTTCAACGAAACCTAGTGGGTTATAGATTATCGATGATGCTGATTCCGAATATGAATATGAGAGCTGCCCTTAGGGTTTCGAAGACCCGGTTTCCAGAAAATCAGTTTTTCAAAAACTCTGAAAAACACCCAAAGCTTTTCTTAATGAGCCCGGTTTGTAGCCCGCACATTTCTGATTAAAATGAGACCTCTCCCAATTCTACATGACCTTTGTGTGCAACGTTATAGACTTTACACGAAAAGCCCTACATTAGTTTCTTCTTATTTCTGTAGCTTTGAGTTGACAATGAATATTTAGAGCTTTTCTTGTAAATTCTACAACTTTGCGAGGTAGCACTTAAAAACGTTCCCTCGTAAGATGAAAGTGAATTATAATCGATAAGCAAATAATCAAGAACTTAATTTTTCTTTAAATATATATATTTTATAGACAAAAATGAATATAAGTTTAATTCCATTCAATTTTTATTATTAATAATGACAACATCAAGTTTGGCTAACTACAATTTTTAATCATCGATGATTTGGACGCAGCAAAGAGTTTTAATGAAATCAAATTATCAAGAAAAAAAAGACACTTTTGTGTTACTCAGGCTGCATTAGATATAACAGAAAAAGCTGTAAACATCATGGTTAGTGAAAATTTTCTCACAGTTGCCCAGTCTACTGCTGCGCTCTCTGGACCAATTTTTGGTTTTCAATCTACGTCAACTTGTGATCTAAATGCAAAACTGGATCTGATTATCGTGAAACTAGATGAAATCGCAGAAAAAGTAAAAAGTATTGGTCCTTTAGTTAAATGTACACAAATAAAAGAAAATTATCTTGATCTTTCGCTGAAGATAAGCACATTATTCGATCTCTATCATAATTTTTATCAGACCGAAGAAGCAACAAGAAAAGACATAATATCCAAGTGTAAAGATCGCACACAAGGAATAAAGCAAATATATACTATGTTCCGAAAACCTCTCGATAATGATACGGTAGTTGCATTCTTCAAAAAATGCGTCCGTTATGAATCAGAAAATATTAATATATGGGGGACCAAAGTAATACAATTAGCATTTTATTGATCAAAGGATGTGAAGAAGCATATAATCGCATGGCAGAATTCGATTCCCATCGATTCGTAAATGATGTAGAACAATTTTTACTCAATATTATAGTGAAATCACTAATTTAAAAGAATTTGCGAAAGACAAAGGAGATTTCGGATTAAGAAGTATTGTAAAAACAATCGCAAATAGAGGCAAATCTGCTGATGAAACAGCACAAACTCTAAAAGAAATGTTTGAAATGTTGTACTTTGATTGGGACGTAATTTTCTGTTCTTCCAACATAGTCTTCCGAAATCTCTTCATAGCTGAAACGTCTGGGGCAGGTAAAAACAAATCTACATTAACTACAAATTATCCCTGAAACTTGGACTGGAACAGGGATGGACAATTCCAACTGCGGAGTTGACGAGTTTTTTGGTGGAGTTGGAGTTGGGTTTTTGAGGTTTCCGTTTTTCATTTTTGGAAATATTCGATAGTTGTAGAGAGTTTCACGATGCTTCTATTAAAAAAAGAATTTGTTCTAGGGGATCTAAAGAACAGGAGTTAAAGCAAAAATATCGAGACCGGGTTCACGGTTAGTTTTTCTTTTTGGTGAAGCACATTTCTAAGCCTATAACTTGCTTACTAGATGAGCTAACGGGGTCAATCACTAGTCATTTTGTAGAGCGTTTTATACTGCATCTTTTCTTCATAGAGACAAATTTACAACCACTTGTTTCACTATACAAAAAATTTATTATTCAAATCGAGTCAGGACTTCTGGTCCACCCTTTATGGACAGTGGGCATTTTTCCGTAGAACAGACGGACATTTGATTTTTATTCACTAATTTTCTTTCAAAAATACTTTTCTATGGGTTTTGGAGCAGCCTGAGTCTAAGGGAATCATCAGCATCACGCTGGGATTCCTCGCTAAGAAATAATTTTCTGGAAAAACCGCATTTTCTATTATGTTTTTAGCTAATCGGTGAAAAATGTGAACTAGGGCTTATCTCACGTGCTGATTCTGAGTATAGGCATAGAACTATTACGAGCTTCATTGAGAGACCCGAAATTTACGAAAAAAGTAACTGCAAACTGCATAACTTAAGAACGAGGTACTTGTAAAAAAGCCAGACGTCTGCATGAAAACATGTTAATTGTTCGGAATGGCTATTGCCACTCTCTGAGGGTGTCAAAACGAGTCATCATATTTTAACTTATGAGTGTAAGTTCCGATACGGTTTATGACTTTCTTTGCATTGAAGTTCTAAGGATGTTTTTTCTACGGCACAACTGGTTATTGACGTTGCGGAGGTCAGCGTGAATCAGAGTTGCATTGTTATTGGCTTCCATTGTTTATAAACATCAGCAGAACTAACAAAGTCCTTCCAATAAATAAAGTAGGACAATTAAGTTTTGAAACAAAATGAAGAATTTTGTCGTAGGAAGTTCTGTTTTATTCTGACTCCATTTTCAGCCAGAGTTCACAGAAGGGTGACTGTGAACTAAATCTGTAACGCGCGTGGAGTGTGTCCGCACAGAGGTAATACTTTAGCTATCTGTCATCCATAAATGTTTCATAAATTCATTCTCTAAAGTTCTAGTTGCAGGATACCACGCTATTCTTCTGAGATGTCAGAATATCAGTACGCAGTGTATTCTCAAAAAACGGCTATTTTTTTTAAACTAGGTGAGCTTGGTATATTCTCATTGACAATACACGAGAATACGCAAATATAGTGTCGCGGTCGGGGAGGGGGGGAAGGAGGTGCAGCATGAGAGTGAGCCACTATGCAACATTTCGTGAGAATAAATTCGAAGTTGCACGTGGGAAATTCTTACATTTGTGTATTCTCGTGTATTGTCAATGCGAGTACAACAAGCCCACATCAATATATTACAGTTTTTCAGTAATAGTCTCACAAATGCAACCAGTTGTGCGTACAAAGGTAACGGAAAACGATTTTCAAAGCCACGTTGAATAACAAAACAAATAACCAGTAGCTCCTTAGAGAAAACATCCTTTGAACTTCAATGCAAAGAAATTCATAAACCGTATCGGAACTTACACTCATAAGTTAAAATATGGCGACTCGTTTTGACACCATCAGAGAGTGGCAATAGCTCTTGTTGGCACCCTCAGAGAGTGACAATAGCACTACCCTTAATTGATTTGGATGAATTTATTGATGCTTTTTGCTTCTACACGCCTCAAACTCGTACATAATTTTTAACGTGTCTGTACGCGTTCATTTTTTAGATGCGTTTGTAAACATTATCATGCTACAAATATAATTTAAACATGCGTTCATGCATTTTTTCGCCCAGATCGGTGGTATTTTTATCATATATGCTAAATATTGATCAACCGAAGTGCTTTTATTTTTACTTGTTACTCTACAAACGCATAGTTGATGAATTGGAGAAAAAGAAATTTTTTGTATGTTGTTTATAAGTTATTCTACAAGTATTTCGTACTTATGAAAACTTCTCCAACAGACGATTTTTGATAGGTAATAGAAAATATATACTTTGAGTAAAAAACATTGCACTGACGAGGTGATTAAAAGTTTTTTGATCGATATCTGGTGGGTTATAGGTTATTGACCATGCTGATTCCGAATATGATCATGGGACTTGCCCATAACTCTTCGAAGATCCAGTCTTCTAGAAAACCAGTTTTTCAGAAATCCCAAAAAACAACCCAAGCTTTTCTTAATAATGCAGGATTGTAGCGCGCAAATTTCTGATTAGAATGGTACATCCCCCAGCTCTACACGACCTTTCTTTGCAAAGTTTTATATTTTACAAACTTCTACAGTAAAGTATTCATCCCAATTCGAATTCGAATTCTGATAAAAATATTTTTTCTTACAAACTTTTACAGTAAAGTATTCATCCTAATTCGGATTCGATATCCTGTAGAATTCCAATTCGAATTCGAACATGAAGGAAAAATGTTTTTTTCTAAACTTTTACAGTAAAGTGTATACCACAATTCGAATTCGAACTATGGAGTATGGCAATTCTAGTTGCAACGCTGTTTTAAAGTGTTGTATGTATGAAAGTTCGTAGTATTCTGTTCGCAAAATCGTAGTTATATTCGAACTCGAATTAGTCAGCTACTCAGTTGATGATGTTAAAACTGGCATAGTCTGTGGTCAAATTTCAGGTCAAAATTGTTTAATTCGATCTTTTTGAGAAACCTTCCAATTAGGTCGGCCATAACTCTTAACCCATAGACCATGGGCGCAGACCCTTTTAGGGTTTTCTTAATCTCACCAAGGCCTACTCGTAGCCACAATATGAGGTCGAACGTCCATGTCCGGTAGCTGGAGATGTTCCCTCGTCAGCAATGCTCGAATAGCCGATTACAACTTTAAATACAGTACTACATAATGCTTGCTAACGAGGGAAGGTCCCCAACTGATTAAAAGCTTTTGAGTTCTTATTTTACCCATTAGGTAGGGACCACTAGGTACTTATAACCTCCAAAGGGTACATCCCTTGTAGAAATTTGATCCAGATATCAAATTTTTAGTGAGTTTTCCCTGCAGGGCGCCAGTTTTGCACCAAAATCATATTTTCGAATTTCGATCTGAGACTCTTCCCACATCAAAGCATCAATTAGACTAGCTTCAAAAAACAATTTCAGAATTTTTGAACATATCCTCTTC